GGCTGCTGGAGGAGCCATGAGCGAGGAGCCATGACAGCATCCTTCACAAGAGAGAAAAGATCAGACGAACGAATGTCTCATGTTTCAGAAATGTGTTTCCTTGATTCCTCTCTCCTTTTTCTCACATATTACATGGGCTGGACTAAGATGCTAGGAAAAGACATGTGTGAAGGAAACGTGGATGCAGTAAAAGGAACTGAGATGTACCCTATATAACAACCCTTTTTTCTCTCCTATGCCCCCAGAGTTTGGTTCCCCCTGACCCCATGTCCCAGTTCCACCTGAAGAGAGGCTCCCCTGAGGAGGAGTTTCCTGACCTGGGCCAGAATTCTACCTGGATGGGACAGATCCTTACGCCGGCCATGTACCGCCGACAGTTCAACCGCTGCACACAGAGTGGAGTCATCTTTGATGATGTCATCCGTCTGGGCCTGGAAGAGCCAGGTGATGTCAGGCTGCTGTCAGAGGATTACACTACGATTAAAATACAACTGATTAGAGGAAGTCACAGACATTCAGGGAACAGAAACTTGACCATGAACATCAGATTTTGGTTCATCTGGAAGGAATGCCAGTGTTGGTCTGTAACCGCTCAATCTGTAACGTCTGTGTATGAAGGTCACTGGTTAGGCCCCGTGTCTGTCGGGTGTGTTGCGGGTGACGCCCAGTCCTACATCCTTTTCTGTGACTTCTTTGACCAAGTCATCGAGGCGTATCACAAGCATAAGGTCACCAGCCAGACGCCAGAGAGCGATTTCAACTTTGACAACTTGAAGGTATGTGCTCAGTCCGCTGAGTGTCCACTAATGTCCAAGTTATCAGAAGTGTCTCACTGTGGTTTCACCGAACAACAAACACGGTCTCAGTATCTCCCCAGGCTTTATGCTCAGTTCACGTCAGTCAAGTCATAAACAAGGCAGAAAATGTCAAAAGTATAAAGAGAGGGTTAAGCAGGGTGAGGGGCCATGCAGACCACCTGCATACGGGCCAGAATTTACTACTCGTGGACTGTACATGCCAATAAATGTGTGAACATGTCTATGTAGTACAGTGTCGTACAGCTCCATCACAAATAATTTGGTCATATATTCCTCATTCCAGCTCAAGTGAAGCAGAGAAAGTAGTTTTATAATTAATCTGTTTAGTGTAAAGATTGGAAAACATCAGTCAACAGAGATCTATGGGAAAGTGATAGAAACGGCTGCTGGTGCTCAACAACTTATTTGTTCAGTGCTAACAACACTTTACCTCCATCAACCACTGATGTGTGTGTGTGTGTGTGTGTGTGTGTGCGTGCGCAGGGGGGAGATGACTTGGACAGGTCTTATGCTGTCCACTGTGAGGTGAGTGCTGTTCGAGGTGTTGAAGACTTCTGCTTCCCGACACACTGCAGCCGAGGAGAGCGCAGACAGCTCCTCACACTGGCCAGGAGAGGTACTGCACACCTGTGTTACAGCTACTCCGTATCCATAGCAACAGGTTCAGCCGGGTTGTGGGTCTAATCTCTCCTGTCTCATAATCACACATATAAAAACTGAGAAATGGATGAAATCATGAATTTTGTCTTTCTACATGAAGGTTGTTTCAGTGCACTGTGACAGTTTAACCAGAAACTGGGAGCTGCTAATAAAAAAATTACAATATGATCAATATTTCTGAACCCCAAGGAGCTGCATCCATGTGATCGATCATGTGAGATCAGGTCCATGCAAACTCTGGTTCAGATTGAAAAACAAGACTGACAAACTATGTTTGTAAGTAGACATTAAGGTCTGACTTGATGTGAACATCAATAAGCTGGTTTAACGTTACTGATAAAATCACTGCACACATGGACCCGAGACTGGAAGAAAAAACTAAATGTGAGAGCAGACCAACAGAGGGCTCTGGTACAATGAGTCCAGTCTGAAAATGGACTCAAATTAAACTGTTAACCAGCTGACCAGTGTCTCCTCTCTCTCTCAGCTCTGCAGTGGCTGGAGGAGGAGATGCCAGGTCGACTCCTTTTACTGGAGGAGCTGAGTCAGGAGCAGCAGAGGGAGCTGAACCTGGACAGTCCATCTCCCACCCAGCTCCGCATCGGCGTGGCCCGTGACTGGCCTGACGCCAGGGCGGTCTGGTCAGTCTGCAACAGTGTGGTTTTGTTAATAGAGGGGGGGCTTTAGCTCTAATAATGGAACAGGTCAGAGGTTTGGTCCTCAGCTCCATCTGTCCACATGGCAACCTGCTCTTCACAGCACAAACTGCTTCAGAAAAGATTTAAGAACTGGTAGATAAGAACAAGTCCCAAATTAAAATAATGCTAAACCTCCATACATTCAGTAAATGCACCGTCAACCAGTGAATCTGATCATCAACTCAGACACCAAAGATCACACTTGCCTTCTTATGAATCCTAAAAGAAGTCAGTCAGACAAAGCCAGACTCCTCCTTTCAGCCTGTGCTGTGTAAATTTTCAACCACCTGTTTGATAAGATGCTCTTTTCGAACATGTAATGTCCCATGATTCCTTGCTGCAGGGTGAGTAAAAATGGCAGCCTAGTGATCTGGGTCAACATGGACGACCACCTCAAGCTGGTGTCCACAAGAAATGATGCCAACATCGCAGAGGCATTTAAATGCATCTGCATCAACCTGCAGAAGGTCAGTGATGAATCCCAGGCCACGTCTCCACGACAAGTTTTTACATGTGTTGAAAAGTGTTTACATGACGTTTTCAAAACGGTCTCCGGTTACACAGCTCTGTTAAAACGATGTAGTATGGCTGCCAGGCAAACATTGAAGGAGACTATGGCAAACACACGTGCCTTTTTGGTGCCCCTCTTCGGCGTAGAGGCAGCTTTAATGTTTGATTAATGTAGGTGACGTCGCTGATCAGTGTTGGAGTAAATGTATACTTTGATGGAGAAACACAATTGTTTACTGGAGATATAATGGTGAAGTGGTGTACGCATGTCAGACCTAAAACAAGAAGCGTCAGTACAGATAAGCCAAACTAGGACTGAAACCATCTCCTCCTCAGTTTGTCGGCCAGTAAAATGTCTTGGTCCAAAAGAAAGTTTTAAAAATCTAAATTTCTGCTAATAGTATGTTTTTGTTGAATTCCCAGTACACACATCCTTAACTGATGTTTAAACTCAAAAACCCACCACTGGTTAGTGTCTGCTGTAGTTACACTGAACTTGTCAGACGTATATGACAAATGAGCAATGTGAAGTACTACAAAGCCAGTTCAAATGGAGATCCTTCAAGAGTCCCCCGTCACCTAAAAGAAACCATATTCATTTTCCTCCTTTCTCCCCGTATGACCAGCTGGAGAACTACTACAGGGAGCTCAGACACCCATTCATCTGGAAGCTGCAGCTGGGATGGGTGACAAGCTCTCCAGCTCACGTGGGGACGGGTCTGAAGGTCAGCGTTCACCTCAAACTGCAACACCTTCCTAAACACAAACGCCTGCAGGACGTGTTGAAGAGACTGAGGATCCACATGGACAGCACAGGTACAGAGGGAGGATGTGGTAGTTCACTAGATAACCTGGGGAGATCGTCTGTATGCTCCTACACCAGGTTCTGGTCGGAGCCAGAAGTTGAACCGTTACGGTCAGTAAGTTACTGTCAAGGTATAAATCTAAGGTTTCATACAGCATTTTATAGTGGAGCCTCATTCGGTACCTTCAGAGGAAGTTACTTTCCAAACCTCTTCCTGTAAGGAAACCATGAAATCTGCAGCTCTTGGTCTTTTCATCCCGACACATATTAAACATGTGCTGTGATGATGCTCTGCTACTTAATGAACCACAAACCCACTTTACAGTGAAGCCCGTCTGTAGTTTTGGACCTGAACCCTGTAATAAGCCTGAGGAAGCTGTGATGGGCTCCTAATGATGGGTATTTTTGATAAGGGACTACGGTCGAGACATCACTTGTGCACGTTTGAATTCTTTTTTGCCCCAGTCCCAGTCTTTTAACTTTAAGTCTTTTCTCTGAAAGTCAACAGAAGACGAGATGTTTGAACCTTACCATTTCATTTCCCAGAATCCCCAGCCCTGTATCACGTGAGCAACGCTACAACCTTCGGCCTGAGCGAGGTGGGACTGACTCAGCTGGTGGTGGACGGCGTCAAGCTGCTCATCGCCATGGAGAAGAGACTTGAGGATGGCCGAGACATCGATAACCTCATTCCTACACAGAAGTAGATCTGGATGAGGACTGGCTGGAGCGAGGAGGAAACGGACAAACCACATGTTTAAGTCCATACACGGAGAGACTGTTAAACTAGGGAGCGGTAAAGTAGGTGACGACTTCACTGAAACATTCAGCATCTGTTCCTCTACAAGCTCATGTTTCTAAATGTCTTCATCCCGCCTCTTTAACATTCAAAATGATCATTAATCGACTTTTAGTTAAGTTACACTGTGATTCTATATCATTTAACATATTTCTAATGCTGAAATAATCACCCAAACAATTTGTAACTTCACAAACTAAGTCTAACAAAGAACTCACGTCTTTAATTTATATGTCATTTACTTTTGTCTCATTAAATCTGATGTACCAGAGACCATCCATCACAAAAACCTGGTCTTGGAGCTCGCTGTGCATCAGGCCTCGTTTCTGACGTGTGTCATCGTGAACAGTAGAAACATTAAGTACGAGTATAGAACCGACATCATACTGGCACACTAGGACCCAGGTTCAAGTCCCCAAGCCCGAGTCCTCTTCAAGAGAAAAGAAGCCTTAGTTTCCAGGTGACGATACAGAATTAAATGAAAATGAACTATACAGGAAAAAGTCATTACACATAATCCAAAACGCAGCGGCTCCATCTGTGATCACAAAATGACTCGTGCTGAAAATCTTTAATTTCTGTCATTTTTATTTAAAATGTATCTGTGGCTGGACTTCTGCTACTTTCCTGTTGGTGGTGAGTCTGACAATCAATCACCTGGTAATAATTTTCAAGTAAGAAGCTCAGGTTTAGTTTCCCACGAAGGCAGCGTCCTGCACATACTTTACCCTCTCTCATCCTCGTCAGTCAGAACATAAGATTCATAGTTTGTCACCTTCCTGGTTCTTAGTGCTACCACATACAGTACAAAGTATTGTCTGGTTTCAGTAACGATGGAGAAGCACTGCACAGTGAACCTCAGGAGCTCGACACCGTACAGACAAGTAGTGAAACCGGTGAGTGGTTCTGTTGATGTACAGCCAACAATGTGGGGAAATAATTCAAAATATAGGGAATGATCTGCTCTTCTCCTCTGAAACAAGTAACTGCATCATCAGTACATTCAGGAGGCAGCGAAGGCGGAACAGACACACAACTGAGTTTATACCAGGAAACAGCAACAAACAGCCATGAAGCAGAGGTTTGGTGATATTTGACATTTTGCTTATCATCCCAGGTGCAGACTCAAACCGACAGTGAACGTCTCCCACCACCACGTCCTGTGTGTACCACAGTCCGACCCCCCCTCCCCTCCCTTGGGGCCACAGAGCTCCACTGGGTCCAGAAACCAGTAAACCCACCAGTGACCACACTGCTGTACTGGTCACCATGAACACACACTCTGGAGTTACTCCGGAGTAAAGCTGAATTTAAACTGACAGGGGAACATATGCTTCTGTCAGTCAGAGACGGCTGCATAGCTGTTGCATTTATATTTGTGCAAACGTTAACATTCTGACGGGGGCTGCTCACACATCAGAGTACAAAAAGGAAAACAAAGAAGAAGAAGAAGAAGTCAGGAAGCAGAAAAGAGAGACTGAAACAGGTTCAAAGTTGTTCTAATAAGGCAAAGAGGGGGTGGTTCTGGGACGCCACAACACACTGTTGAGCCTTCGGTGTCGTGGGTCCAACTCAACCAAACACCAGTTAGTGAGAGGGCGCGCGGCTGACGACCCCGTAGACCTGCCTTCAGTCCTACACCCACATGTTGGTGATGATACAGCTACAGACTGTCAACAGTCTTCTGTTAGACAGCCTTGGTAGAGCAGTGCCAGTGGTTGGACAGCTGAGTGGACCTGGCTCTCACAGGGTGACCGCCACTACACGCCAGCTGGACCTGGACTGTAAAGATTTATGATGGCCTGGGCCGACACCCCCTCTCTGGGGCCAAACAATGGGTAAACATCATTTAATGCGTACAATGAACTTCCAAATCGGTGCTCTCCCATTCTTTGGCACATTTAACCATCTACTATTGACTGACTGTTCATCCTAGAGCTGAAATTATGCCCCGTTAAATATTTTTCAGGTAAGAAAGTAACCACTTCGATTTGAGAATAGGTTCTAGCCAAGAAATGCCAATTCGCTCTGATGTTTTCAGAGATGGGAGTAGCCGCTAGCAGACCAATAGCAGTCTCAGCAGAGCAGAGTCAGATCAACCAATCCAAATGTCTGTAACCTACGTTTACCCACAAACCCCTTCACTGCGTAGGTACGACTCGACACTGATGTGTAGTTGCAGACAAGTCTAAATAACCTGTAATACTCACTGGAGACCAAATGCGGATTCATCTGCTGATGAAAATAGCCCCCGACAAATGTTTGTTTGGTAAAAACTACAGTGAGGAGCTGTTTGAGGAAGCTACTGAGATTATTTATAAAATTAATAAATGAGATGTTTCTAAAGATTTAGGTTCTTAGTAGGAACCAATGTGCTTGAAGCTGAGGGCCACAGACTGGGGAAGTCAGGATGTGATGGACTGACGCATGTTGGTTAAAGTCTGCACGTGGCATCTGTTGAGGATGAGACAAACATAAAAACACCAGGCTGAGCCTTTAAGTTTCAACAGGGGACATGTGAACAGAAACAACTTGCTGGTGTGGTTCTGGTTTTATGCTCCGCGCCACATAAACATGAACATTTAAAAAAAATCTGAATTGACCTCACTGCTAAAAACCTTAAAATGACAAACTAATGAAGAATGGAGACAGTGTGGACCGAATAAAGACACTGACCACAAACTGGGACTAATCGGTACCTGCACAGACTCACCTGGACAGGCGTCAGTTTAAACAGTGAGAATAACGACAACGCAGCAAAAGTGATAAACATTCGTTATGTCAGCTCTATATGTAGAAACTGATTTACAGTTTGTGTCTGAACTACAAGAAAAGACAGCTGAGCACTGACAGTGTTACCGCGTATTATTGCAGCAGCATCAGCCGGTAGGGGAGTAAAATGGCTTGGTGCTTCAGGAGGTCAGAGGTCACATCTCATTTCCTGTGATACAACCAGCAGTGAGGATGCTGTCAAACTTCACGTCTCATGACCTTCTGTCACCAGCTCCACTCACAGCATCAAAACTAAAGCAGGGAATAAAGGTGGAAATCTGCAAACATCGATATCAGTCAGAAAAACACAGCACTTCACGAAACTCGTCCAAACTCACGGCGGCTCGATCAGATCAGGCAAAAGGAGCAAACAAGTCACTTTGCTATCAAGTGAAACAGCAGCTGGGGGACTCTCAGTTAAACCCGAGCTAACATCTGTTAGCTTGCTACAGTTAAAGTGTGACCTGAGGTGGCAGGTCACTTGGGGCAATTTATCACCTGGTAAGGATGTTACACTCGAAGCGGACGACTCGACAGTGTCGACCTTACACACCAGGAGTATCTTTCATGGCATAATCAGAAGTTGAGCCACAGGCAGAGCAAAGGTGAAATCAGAAGTTGAGCCACAGGCAGAGCAGAGGTGACTTGTCCCTGCCCGTTGATGTGCACCCCAGAAACCAGACTATTGCTCACAAACAGGTTAAGGCAAGAAACTGGATAATGCATGTACATGCACTGCAATAATATGATGACTCTGAAAGTCCAGATTACATGCAGTTTGGTCAGGCTTTGCCCACTGCTCCATACAGTTACCTTTCTATTCTGGATCTGTGAGAGCTAACTGTTCACTCCCCAAACTTTGGACCTGGCATATGACTGATCAGGTTTATCTACCAGGGTACGTCAGCTTTACCGCCCTCCATTTAATGAATTATACCAAGTTTCCACTGTAGTCCAAGGTTTTGGAAGAAGCTGAATTCTTAAGTGTATGTAAACACAACACAAACCAACATGACGTCTCACTCCAGTAGTAGCAGACAGATTTCAGTGCTAACAGACAAACCGAGCTGCTCCCATCTTGTTCGCTGCAGTTCGGTGGAGTCACCTCACCGAGGGATGAGCCGCCTGCTGTTCTGTTTGGTTGTACTGGCAAACATGTAATGATACCATTAAATATGAACTGCGTTGAGTATAATAAGGTGTATTTTCTCTGAGCCATACTGCACTGAACACAAGATGGCCGCCGTCACGTGGTCAGACATCATTCTGTGGAGACGAGGGGCAAGGGTATCGTCCTCGCAGTGTCTCGTTGTTCACAGCCTGAGCTCGTTGGCCACTTTGGAGGCGATGTTTTTGAAGGCGATGGACGTGCCGGAGATCCTTTTAAATCGCACGCCATTGAGCGAGAGGCGGGGCAGTTTGCACACCTCTATCTCCCACTGGACCAGACCGTCCTGCCGGGCGTCACCGTGCACGCAGAATAGCAAGTAGCGCTCGCGCTGCTCATAGTCACAGTTGTTGGCGTCCAGAACCCTGCGGATCTCCTTCATCATGTCCCCCGGCTCCATGGAGGACGTGGTCTTCATGCTCCAGGTGAAGCGCAGGGAGCGGGGCTTGGAGTCCCGGCCCTCCTCTTTGGGCTCACCAGGCAAACTCCTGGAGGAAGGAGACCCGACAAACCCACAGCGTTAGCAGGCAGCAACAGCTCTGACACAAACTGCAGAGTCATCCATCTTTGATCATTTCAGGATGACCACAATAAACTGTTAAAGCACCAGTTCACCACAAGCGTTTTATTATTTTCCTCTGTTCAGTCACATTATTAAAAACACTGCTGGGTTGTATTTGTTAAGAGAAACTCAGAAACCTGATCTGCTTCATCAGGACAGTGGTGAACTGTGGCACCAAGCTTTGTGTCCTGCTCTTACGGACCTGCGTGCAAACTTGGAGGTGATCTTGCCGATGAGGGAGGTGGAGGCTCCGCGGTGTGGTACAGCCAGGGCGGCGGCAGCGTGCGGCGACAGGCTGGGCGAGACTGGAGGGCCGTTGTAGGTGGCCGGTTTTCGCTCTCGAAGCTGAGAGCCGTGGAAGGTGGAGCGACTGGAGGAGCTCCGGAGGGGGGGTGCTGCTGGTGACGCTGAAGGCTGACGGTGAAGACGGGGGCTGGTGGGGGGAGCTGGGGGTAGGAGTGGAGGACATGTGATATAAAAACAAGAAAGCTGTTTCCACAGGAATGGAGCGACAGCGGCGCAGGAAGTGCTCACCTCTGATACTCCGCGTTGTCGTCGATGGGAGGCAGGCTGGACTTCATGGGATGTCCCGACGCCGACATGGACTTGACGTGACGGGGGCGTGTGGAGGAGATGGTTGCCCCTGGTGATGGGAAAGGGGATGCTGCAGGTACCTCAGGCAGACTGAAGCAGAGACAGTTTATAGATTGACCTGGTGAATCAGAGCTCAGTGAAACCTTCCTGAACTCCCCTCACCTGCTGTCCTTCCCGTTGGGAATAGCAGCCGAATGGCGATCAGTGCTCATCCTCTCGTAAACATACGTGTTCCTCCGAGTCATGCTCTGTAACACACAGACAGGCTGGTGAACTGGTTCAGACTGACATCAGCACTGAAAATGCATCATCATTCAGTTCAATCTGATTATTTTCCTCCTTTTCTCAGTCTCCACCGTGAAGAGCTGGAAGCCGCCACCATAGACTGTGCCTGGTAAGGCAGTGGCAAACAGGTGACAGTCTGAAGGTTCACCAACTCTGTGCGGTTCAAATGGACCCGCTCTGTCGTGGCGTCTGCACGACTGCTCTGTCAGACACCATCCGCCCCTGACAGATACAAACTGTAGGACACCGCCTCCTCTTCTGTCGGGTGGGGAGAGCTGCAGGCGAAGGTGTCTGGCAGCTGATTGTATGCTACACTTCAAATACTGTGACCAGGATCACTGCTGCATTTGTGATCGCCACGGCATTCAACAACACAGGCTCCTAAAACACGCTGTTTGACCTTTAACCCTGGTTTTAACCTGGTATCTGAACCAGGACCTGGTGAGACCGGAACATGTACCCTCTTACCCCTGAGGCTGTAGCTGACTTCCTGCGGTCCGGAGCTCCCCCAGGCAAGGACGGTGACTCTTTCCTGTCACTCTCGACACTGTTGGCATGGCAACGCTTGGTGTGGGAGACGGGCAGGGGGATAGAGGGCGCCACTGAGACACAGGACAGAAAGCGTGCACAGACTTACTGTATGCAGACCTACGGTTAGTATTTTGGCTGGAAGACAACTAAGTTGACCTTGAGTTTACATCTCAACTCACCGTGGTCACTGAAACGCCGCTGCTTCTGATTGGCAGATACATTGCGAGTATGTGCGGGGGATTGAGTGGAGCCGTTGAGGTCGCTGCAGGGTCGTAACCTTTGAAGCAGGTTACTGCTGGACAAAGACTCACTGCCTTCAAACTGGAGAGAGTGGCACAACAGAGCATTGTGGATCATTGATGGCGACATCTGCTTCCAGTCTTTGTGCTAAGCTAGGCTAAGCACACCCTGTACCTCTGGGCATAGACCTGAAACACCCGACTGAGGAGAATAACAGCACATCTCATAGTTCACATCATGCAACAAACCTCTGCAGGTTTCCTCCCCAGCAGCAGGTATGTTGCCGTCACCTCATTGTATTTCTGACCGTCCAGCGCCGCCTTCACTTCCTCCTGAGAGAAGCCCATTGTCTCCATCAGCTCTGATTGGTCAGAAAACACACAGTGCATGAAGAAGACTTTCAGTAGATTGCAGCCATGCTAGCAGCTCTGTCTGCATTCACGTCATATGTGGTGGTCAGTAGAAACGGGAGACTCCCAGGCTGCGAGCGTTCACATCATGTGACAACTCAAGAGACCACTGTGTCATCACAGAGATGGGATGTGGGAGCTAAAACACTGACCATGTAACACCACAGTCTGTGGCTGATCTGAGGTTTGGCTTCCAGGCAGTTCCGCATCAGAAAGTGCTGCATCAGATTTACTGGCAATATGAAGCTAACCGCTAATGTCAGCATGCTAACTTAATGCTAATGTACTAACGATTAGTAGGTGTTTCCATGTCCACCACTGTCCAAGCCACCGTCAGGACAAGTTGACCACCTGATGGTCCCATGTCAAAGTCCTGCCTTGCACCCAGTGTAGTGTCCGTTTTCCTCCTAGCGCCCAGTTTATGGGTTTTTCTCCGTTTTATCTTGCTGTAAACTGAATATCTTTGGGCTGAGAAACTGTGATAAGCAATTGTATATTTTAAAGACCAAACAATTAGTTGAGAAAATTAATAGCAGACTAATCAATAATGAGTGTAAGTGGTAGCTGCAGCCCCACAAGCATTTCTGACCAGCTGATGTTAAATAAAGTCAAACTGAATTTTTCATTGTTGGGAAACATTAGCAGGATGTGTGTGCTCAGGCAACACCACATGAATCATGGGAGAGTGCTCTGTGTGTGTGTGTGTGTGTGTGTGTTACCGATGCGTTTGAGGTCACTGAAGTCTTGTTCTGGTTCAGAGAACGGCTTCAGCTCCTCGGCGTCGTAGCCGATGCTCATCCATTTTTCCTTCATGATTTGCTGAGGAACAAACCGGAACAACCAGAACTCAGGAGCTACAGCAGTTTTAATTTGGACGAGTGACTGAGGCTAACACCAGGATGTGGACTTTGTTTAGATGGCAGACAAGTTGCTAGTTCTGCTCCCTGAGCCTGTGACGCTGCAGACGTTACCTGCAGGCTGCCTCGTTTCCCCGGGTTCAGCACCAGCAGCTTCTTCAGCAGGTTTTCACAGTCGGTCGACATGTAGAAGGGGATCCGGTACTTTCCTCTGAGAACGCGCTCCCTCAGCTCCTACACACACAAAAGTCCTGCTTATACGTGCAACATACAGGGACCTAAACTGGTGGCAGAACAACGCCTCCCCTTCATATCTGACAAAAATATGGCCAGTTTACTATTTACTTCTCTATTTTAATGGGACATTAATATACAGAGTTATAATAAAACAATACACAGCTATGTTGTATTGTTATCTACTATATAATCTTATAATCTAGTTCTGTTGAGCTTTGTTTAGCTTGATTCAAGGTTGAGGTCCTGAATCTGCAGTTTTTATTTGACTTTAAAAAGTGTTTGTTATTTTGTCCACTCCGGCCTACCTTCAGGTTCTGTCCATCAAAGGGCAGCGAGCCGCTGACCAGTGTGTAGAGGATCACTCCCAGACTCCAGACGTCCACCTCCGGCCCGTCGTACTTCTTCCCCTGCAGGGTTACAGAACTACATTACCCATCAGCCCACAGCTGTACAGCACACTGACTACATCCAGGATACGCCACAATAATGGGCCTCCCCTTCATAATAATAGAAGTCACTGTTATTAAGAAGAAGTATCAGTATCAGTGATGTATCGGATCAAAAGAACCCAATAGTTCATATTGATCATCTAACAATGTTGACCGAGATTTCACCATGATGATAGTTTGCAGACACCAACATGTGATAAATCAGTGGCATGGATGCTATAAGTAGCCACAGGTACGCACAGCTGTCACATGTAATAACAGCGGCTGTGAACCTCAGCACCTCTTCTTTGCTGACAAGTCTAACAGATGTTTCCAGATGTGTTTCTATTCACTGCCAGCTGTGGGAGATGACGAGGCTCGATGTGAGTGCACAGGCCCACACCGACTGAGCTCTATAAAACAAAACCAGGCGTACATGTTCCGCCATAAATCTGATGAGCAGAAGGAATATTCATGTTTGACGCTTTAGTGCTGAGTCTGCACAGTTTCATGCATCTGGCCCCAGGTGCTGTTGTCAGGTGTGGTGGGCGGAGCCAAGTGTTCACCTGGAAGAGTTCAGGAGCAGCGTAAGGAGGAGAGCCGCAGAACGTGTCCAACTTAGAGCCCAGCGTGAACTCGTTGCTGAAGCCGAAGTCTGCAATTTTAATGTTCATGTCGGCGTCGAGCAGGAGGTTCTCAGCCTGACACACACACACGGGAGCAGAGCGGTGGTCATGTCGGCGTCGAGCAGGAGGTTCTCGGCCTGACACACACACAGGAGCAGAGTGGTGCGTCTCATTATCGCTGTATGTTCAGCTCCAGTCAAGACACTCAATGACTGTTAATTTAATGCTGTGTGTGTGTGTGTGTGTGTGTGTGTGTGCACCTTGAGGTCTCGGTGTACAATCCTCTTCTGGTGACAGTACTCCACTGCTGAGACGATCTGACAGAAACACATGAAGAAGATGAGAATGGAGGAGTTCAGTAGAAACCTGCAGCGTTGGCTGGATGACGGTGGGTTTTCACCTCTAATGGAGTAAAAATAGGAAAGTGCCATTTAGATTTTGTCCACAGGGTGGTGCTAGAGGAAAGCTCATGTGGTTACCTACCTCAGAGGTCGTCTTCTCTACGGTGGCTTTCTTAGGACACCTCACACTCGGCTTGTCACTTCACTGCTACACCACACTTCCTAGGTCTACACTGGACTGGCTGCCTACAGAGGTTAACTGGACTTTCTCCAGCAGCAGAGGTGGTTGTTGACCACAGCTGTTAGCCGCTACGCTAATGGCCCATAATGAAAGTGAGGTGTTTTATTAGTGGTTACATTAATGCAGGCTGGTTCACGCGGTGGGGATAAATCACATGCAGCGGTTCATGTGGTGGGTTCACCATCACTGGTCCGACAGACTGAGTATTTAGTTAGAGAGGTTGTTTAAATACTGCACAAACCTCCCTGTGACAACAGAAACTATCACAGGACATCTTGTGTCGCTTTCAAACATTAAATTAAAACATTTTTAAAATAGTGAAGGTGACAGGAACGACATATTGCAAAATAAAAAACATTCAAAGAGCCTCCTGCAGAGGTTCAGTGGCTGCTCTGGATGTTTCTATGTCTCTTCCTTTGGTAAAAGTCTAGCTGGTAGTGGAAAGGATGAGGTAGACCAGCTGCAGCAGCCGCTGTCTGATGGATACTGTGTGATGGGACTTAAGACACCAACTACTGTATGTACTGCAACGTGCCTGGTTCAAATCCAACTACGATGCCTTTTCACACCGCTCCCTCGCTATCTAATAAAGCTGCTCAAAAATGACAAAGAAACCTATTGTGCACGGTCAGATGGCAGCAGTTCGGCAGGTGATGTGAATCTACTTTCATTCGCTGTATAAACCTGAGTGGCTAAAGGGGGCGGCGAGGAGAGTGAGACAGATGAACGATTGAATCTGTTCCTTTATAATCACTTGATGTTTCCATTGGTTGACAGAGCCGCCCTGAGTGCAGCACCAACAGCTGACCTGAACACAGGGGATTATGGGATATGGAGCAGCTAACTCACCTGGCGAAACTTGGCTCTGGCCTCCTTCTCTTTCATTCGTCCATGAGCAACCAGGTAGTCAAAAACCTCACCTGAAACAGAGACAAGTGTGATGGGACACGTGTCGGGTTAGAAGACATGTGCTGACAGACAGCTGAGAGGGTCTTACCTCCGCTGGCGTACTCCATCACCAGGTACAGAGTCTTCTCCGTCTCTATCACCTCAAACAGCTTGACTGAAAAGCAACAGGTCTATTGAGTTCATTTCTGTGAGAACCGTTTCCACCGTATGTTATGATAACTTGGTTTACTTTGTGATATCGGTGATGTTTAAGATCACACTGAAGATGACAAAAGGGGGGAAGAGGAGATAAAGAGAATAATGAAGCCATCAAAATGGGACAAGCTAAGGAGGAGGAGGAGACTCACCGATGTTTGGGTGGTTGAGGGTCTTCATCACGCTGACCTCCCTGAAGAGCTGAAGAGACAATGTGAATCAGTGAAGTGGATTTTTAACACATCTCATCTCAGACTTTGAGTCGATTACTCTTTTATTAGCAGCAGGCTAGCAGTTTCCCCCTGCTTCCAGTGTCTGTGCTAAGCTAGGCTAACTCCCAGAGATCCATCTTTAACATCTCAGTAACATCCAGGTTAGAGTGACAGAGGTCAAAGGTCAGAGGCGAGGGCATACCTTCTGCAGACTGGTGGGGTTCAGCTGAGTTTTGTCGATGATCTTGATGGCAACCTGCAGGAGGAAGCGAAACATCAGCGTCTAACCAGCTCACAGCCAGATGATCACATTTATCTACGGGTGTCCGAGCTGCTTTGTTTCGGACTGTTGGTTTTTAAAGGTCTTAATTTTACCGACTGTTTTAATAAGGATAAGGATAACCACACTTTAACTCAACTGATGGCTCTATAACCATCGGGGGCAACGAGGGGGTTCAGTGTCTTGCCCAAGGACACTTCGACACGTGGACTGCCGGCACCGAGATTCAAACCTTCAACCTTCTGCCCTTCATCTAATTTACTATCTGATTTAATATCCAGGCTTTGTTGCTTCCTTGCTCTTCACATGAAGTGCTCACAGGGCAGCCTTGCACAAGCAGCAGTTACCGACTGACTTGACTGGAATAAAACCAAGAACAATGATCTTTTACAAACATGTTAAACACTCGACTATTTATTCTAACGATAACTGACTGACACCAAATGAACAGAGCTCTTCAGAAGTGAGCGGGAGGAATCAGGACAATAACAGCTCAGTTTTATTCAGGCTGGAGTCCAGAAACCACTTTAAACATGATCAATAAGATTAAAATCGACTGCAGACTGCAGGAGAGGGGAGTTAAAACACAGAAAATCAGCTGATTCAGAGGGTGTGGATCCATTTTTATCATCAGAGGACAAAGATGTTGGCCAGTCATGATGAAGTCAGAGCTGGAAACCTCCTGCTGCCATGTTATCTCAGCGTCCCCTCCACGTTCTGATGGCCAACCACAGTCTGGCGTCCCCAGAGACAAACACAGCAGCTGATTGGACGGCTCTCTCTACCGCTGCACCTTCAGATAAGTACAAAAGTCACGCACACTCCGTTTCATCTTCTGTCCAGCCGGCTCTGAGCGGCATCAATAATTCAGCCTGAAGCCGACGCCCCCAGCTGATGATGTCAGAGTTTCAAACAGACTTAACCCTGTGGACTCTGTGACTGAGGGGATGAACACCTCAGACACCTGGTCAGGTTTACTATGCATTTAAAACTACATTTTTATGGCTTGATTTACTTTTGTTAGCAACACATTTTAATGACATTTTATGACTTTTTCTAAATTAAGCTCATCTGTTTTCCTGAATTCTCAAGGTCTGACTGTGGGATGGATCTTAACTTTGCTCACAAAAGGTTGTGTGTGTTTAACAAAAAACAGAGTGAGGAGAAATTAAATGTCATGATGGGACAGGTATGATATGTTTTAGTGGTTCCCATATACTGAAGGAGTCAGTCCGACACTGTGGGCCCTCTCTCAAAACAGACAACTGTGCCACCCTCTTCAAACCGGCACTTTGAGAAGTATGCCGAATTAGCTCTTACCACTTCCTGTTTGCAGTGTGTCCATGCATGTACACTGCATTACTTGGACATGGTAAAAATGTGATGATTCTCAGACAAGTTATGAGACTTAAGCAGGTTTATAGAAGTTCATTTGCGACAGACATAGGACATAATATTGTCCTCTGACAGCATAAGGCACACTGAATCTAAAAATATCTGTCTCTTCAGTTGTCCTGCTTGTGCTTGTCCATCTGAACTTTGTGCTGCGTTCTCACCTCTCGGCCGGTCAGCGTGTGTCTGGCCAGTTTGACCTTGGCAAAGTTGCCCTTGCCAATGGTCTTCAGCAGTCGGTAGTTGCCGACGTGCAGCTGTTCGTCTGCGATGGAGGTCATGGAGCTGCGACATGGCGGCAGACTGTGATAGCTTGATGATTTAGTGGGCGGGGCCGGCGGCTCAGGGAGACCCTCTGAAGACTTTGTCTGAAAGAGACGGACACAAAAATGATCTGACTGTGTGAACCTGAGACACACGGAGCTGAACGATGCACATTTCACCCCAGAAGGTAGATGGGAAACTACAAAAGCTCAGTGAGCAGTGATAAGGTTCGAATCTCCTCTACAATAAAGGAGTCAATATGTTCACTTTCTGAGTGACTCCTGACATCACAGTGACGCTGTTTCAGGTCTGATGGATGTGGATCTCATGTTTCAGTCTTCAGAGCGGTGCAGCATGATGGAGGGGAACCGGGTCTTTCCAACAGCTTCAAGTATTTCCAGTGAAAATCTGCCTGAATGTCAACATTTCAGAATAATTTCAAACCCAAAATGCCCCAAGGATTCTGTGTAACTAGCCACAATAGCTCAGCATGAGTCCCATTGCTTGTAAAGTGCTAAATGAAGACGTACTGACGTGGTCGAGTGCGAGTCACCGTTAAGGTTTTATGCCGCTGCTCCTCTAATATGTAACTACAGGTCTAGAGTACACTTTGCTTACAGTACATGGTTCTTTTGTTTACTACAAACTAACTGGATGTTAATTTGGTTATATGCAGGCCAGACCAGGACAACAACCCCGTCATTTGGTCTTTGCTTGAGCACAGTGTTGTTTACACCTGTTCCACTATAGAAGTACTCCTGAATCTGTAGAGTAAATATAAAGCTACAACCTGCAGCCAGTTAGCTTAGCTTAGCATAAAGACTGGGGTCACCTGTCTGTGTCCAAAGGTAACAAAGTCCACAGCTAGCACATCTAAAGCAAGTCTGTAAAAACGATAGTTGATCCTTTTCCGGGGGTATGTCCAGCCTACCACACCCCCCAAACTCCAGGCTCAGAAAGTCCCTTCATCCGTCTGAGGGAAACAGACTGTGCAGACAGGTTTAGACTGAATGACTGGTTTCAGTGCAGGACAATAAGCACAGAGTGAGCTGTATTATCACTGCTGGCCGGCGGCTGCCAGAGGAACTAGAGCTGATAGAAACCAGTCTGACAGCATCTGAACCAGCTGGAGAAGTTGACACTGAGGAGACAAACACTTCTACTGTTACACCACAGCACCATGAGATCACAATGCATCACTGCCGACACTCTACACCAACTGGAGGCCAGTCACACTGACACAGTCTGTGGACGTAACCCTCGACAGACATCTGGTGTTTAAAGACAAACCCCGTCCAGAGACCAGCAGCACCAGTGAATGTGTGTGAGTCCAGACCCTGGTCCAGCTTATCGCTCTGTGTCGTAGACCTCCACTGTTGTCCACCAGCTATTAGACCCTCCACCCAGTGAGCCAGGTTTCCTCCTCAGGAAACACGGGAGGCCGTCTGTTTCCACCACACAGCCTCACCGTGCACACAGTCACTGGTCTCTGCTCTCTGTCGACACTGTGTGTAGCACAAGACACTAATGGAGTAGTGTAAACGGACTGGTGTGTTTCTGTACAACAGCAGGTTCTGGAGTCACACATTATGGTGAGAACACCGCGTTCATTGTTGCTCTAAGACCTACTTGTATTCATTGGCGTTTGGCCAGGAATGAGACTGTCTGTAGTGTTGGAGTGTTTCTTTTATTGTTTATAGTTTATGTGATGATTTTAGATTTGTATGGTATGTTAAACGCTTTGGTCAGCTGTGCTGTGGTCAAGTGCTATATAAATAAAGTTGAGTTGAGTTGAGTAAGTCTCTGGATGGAGTTTGTGCAGAATAACAAAACAGAAAGTCACTGGCTTCATCCATTAAAGACCTGCTCACGACAACAAGTGGCACAGTGACGCTCCTGTGTACAGCCACACAAAATATTTAGTTCAAGAAGCCTGGTGATGCAGTGACCAGAGTAGCTGTAGCTGGTGAGCTAAACGCTAACACGTTAGCAGGCTGGGAACATGCAGACGCTCAGTTCACTCAGTCTCTGCTGCACCGTTCACTCCCTCCTGACGTGTTCATCATTTCATCCATAAAGATCGAACTTCAGTTGCTTTACAGAATCCTGCAGGACCCCTCACACACACTCTTCTCTATGTCTGACGTCGGCTTCGCTGCTGGACGCAGAGGAGGAGGGTGACCTTTGACCCTAAGGCAGCTTCTCAACGCCAAGTCATCCCTGACCCGCTACTCATCTTGATTAACTGCTTCATTGTGCACTGATGATGTTGCTGCGCTTGCAGAGCTATAACGCACTACTGTAGTATTTATTATTATTATATAATAATATTTTTCTGAATATATTTTTAAAACTACTCTGTCCTTTTAAATTGTCCCTAGGGGATAAATAAAGTTATATGAACTGAACTGAATAATAATCTAAAATACAATCGGCAAATAAACTATGATGTAGTTTTATAGGTCAGGTGTCCATCCTCAGAGGAAACTCGCACACCACCCAGCTGCAACATCCACGTGTGGTGCACAATAATAATATTTATAAAGGGTCATTCTGCATGATTACTTTTGTTTGTACAAGTATATTTGATACTTTCTTTACTTGTAAATGAGTATTTCTGCCCTGTGTTTGCAGGCAGTCCCCCAGATGTGATCATTCAGTTTCCCTGTGTGTTTAGGGACGTGTAACCGTTCGAGGTGTGACCAGTACTTCCTGGCACTGAGCAGCCGTTTGAAACAGGAACTTGTTGGTACACTTCAGTTTGTTGGCTCTCATCTTTAGTTGCTGAGCAGAGACAGTTGTAACCACAGTCTGATCCTGGATGAAGTATAATTACAAAATACAAACAACAGAAACTCAGATTAAAAATATTAGCCTGTTTTCCAACAGATCCACATAGGAATCAGGAACAGAGCTGAAGTGAAACCACAGCTTCCAGATACTGCTGTACTCAGTGGCCAGAAAACTTTGGTTTGGACTAACATGAACTAAAACTATAGCCCTGCCTGTGACTGCTTCATCAGCTCAATCCTACAGCTGTCAGCTGTGCCAGCTCCGCTCTCCGGCACTTTTCAAGTAAACAACTGAAGGTAACACCACGAGGAGAGACCGTCTGCAAACATCCACATTTGTCTTTTCCTTCTCTGGGATGGCAGGTTTTTCACCCTGGCTGCTCATTACACATAAAAACACTTCAGACGTGGTCATATGACCTAGTTTGTTTCAAACAAAGGTCAACGCACCGAGGCCAGACCGAGGCCAGGAAGGACACCGCTGAACAGCTGGAAAAGTGACATCTGAAGAGGGACTGGGTGGATTTCATCTGTCTGTCATGACCGTGACTTACAACCGTCCACTGGCCGAGTTCAGCTCAACACAAACACCAACACGGTCTCACAGAACTTACCGACAGGTGACAGTGAGAGGAGCCTCCTGACTGACTGAGCGGAAACGCAACCAGCAGGGTCACTGATCACTGAGCTGGTTTGGAAAGAGGAGGTTTCTCTCTCCGACAGAGGAGACCTGACGCTGCTCTGGAGACACAGCCCTGACTCGGCCCTGCTAGGGACTGGGTGGCGGTTTGGCCTGTCAGCTGTCACCCAGCTGTGTGTTGACACATATCTAATTTACAACAACTAATACAGTTTGAAGGAAATGTAACTGTGACTGGATATTTTCCATTAACACACTGAGGAAATGTTCTTAATGTATTTCACAAATACACTGATACTGAAACAGCTGAGCAACACTTTTCTCCCCAAAGCATCCGATCGTGCAGAACAACCTCCACCTGCTGCAACTCCAGCATCATCCAGCTTTTACTGGTCGTGTTCAGACTCCGGCAGCTCCTGGTTCACAGATAAACGCTGGTTGAACGGTGGAATAGTTCACAGTGACTTCAGACCAACATGCTTATCGAAACGTAGCCAGAACCACTGTCTTTCCCAAACCTTCAGTTGACTGAACCAGGAGCCAGGATGTGACCTGGGCCTCTGGCGTCCCATCATGCACTCTGTAGGTTCACTGCCCACCTCGACCACCTCGCTGTGACTCATAAATGTTGTGCCTCATTCATTATAAGGAAACGCTGCCTCTGAACATGATCCAGCCAGTGATTAAATCACACAATATCAATGGGAAAACGATTTCCTGATATATAAACATCATCTGTAGGAGGCAGGGTTGAAACAGTGACAGTGGAAGCTGCAGATGAAGGACGTATCTAGTCTGAAACCGATTGTGATGCAACATGAACTTGTGTCCAGCCTCCATGGTCTGGATGTCAAATTGCTGCAGGAACCGCCCGCTACACAAAGATCAGATGAGTTCAGTCTTACAATCCACAAGTCCTGCCATAATCAGGAGAAACAAAGTGGTGCCAAGTAGTGAAGCAAAGACAAATCGCCTCGTTCTCAGCTTTGTGACTCTCCTAGATTCGGTACCTTATTGTGAACCTGGCAGCCTGCTCAGTTGCCTACTAGGCTATACCATTCAGGAGGAGAACAGCCTCGGGACGTCTACTCTTCTGAAAACTGGTTGACCTTGTCCTATTCTTCTGTCTTTTATAAGAGGGGAGAAATTAAAAAGGCAGTTAGCAGGATGGGAGGGGTCGTTCACTGTGGCCTGGCCTGATAGATTTCAGTTTAGATTAGATTTCATCTGACCCAACAGGTTTTTAAAGGGTTAAATGGGCTGAGGAATAAACGCTGTGTGCCAATAAAGAAAATGTGAACTAATGTATTATCCCGATCATGGAGCCTTAATCAGACCCTTCAGCTAGTGTTGGTTAGCCACTGTGCTAACTAGGATATGTCAGAACCCACCCCTCCCCCAGGTAGGTCAAAGGTCAAGGTTCATGAACTGGTTGGGAGTCAGCGCCTGTTCATCAGGGCTGAGGTGGAGTTCACTCCCTGTACGACTTCATGTGTCATGGCTGGACGGGTGTGTGAGGGGGTGGGGGTGGAGGGTTCCACTCCCACTGGGGGAATCCCAGTGTAAACCAGTGAGCTGCCTCCAGCAGCTGATTTCACAGTTTAGCAGTGAGGTAGAAAAGCAGAGTGATCCATCACTGAGACGAACGAGCCGAGCTTCACTCTGTGGGTCGGAGCGGGGTCATGGACCGACTGTGACACAGCCGGCCCCCAAACCCCATACACAAAACAGAGACCCACAAAACCAGTACAGAGGCAGCATCACTTTGTGTTTGTCTATATTGGCTGTGTGTCATTTGATCCTCCTCTGCAGTCATTTTTCATTCCTTTATGGTTGTTTTGCATCTCTGTAAATGTTTCCAAGAGGACGCACCAGCGGCTCCTTCAGCCGGAGGCTCGGCCTGTTGACGCGTCTATCACCCTTCCACAGACATCATATGGACGACTAACTGAAAACTGTTGCTGTCTGTAGACGATGCCAGGTCATGTCTGAGAATACCGGACGTGACTTCCAGGAGGCTGAGATGAATAAACATCACTGTGCTGCTGATATCACATCCTGCAGTGTATTTTGGGAAAAATCGATAGTAAACAGACAGAAGGAGCCAAATGCAGCCGCTGCAAGTCCGACAGAGAGAGAGGGAAGAGACCAAGACTCTGGTGAGACCCAGCAGACGAGGACATGACAGGCCAACAAGGCCGGACTCAGTTGTACTGGGAACGACACTTAAACCGGCTCTTTTCAATTTGCCAGAGTAAAAAACAAAACCGACTCCTGTTCATTTTCTTCAGCCAACATGGCTGCAGGTCACTGAGGTGACCGCGTCAGTTCACAACTTGTCTTCAGGGTTTTAAGCTCATTCTTTTAAAATCAACTCCATCAATAATAAAACAAAATTCATTCCTAATAAAATCTAAAAAACTTGTATTGATAGTCTAAACAAGTAAACTCAATCAATAGCATGGCAATCATACATAATAAAGCTGATAAGAAAATCAATAAATAAAACTATCAATAAACTCCATCAGCCTAAAATAATAAAATATGATGTAAACATGCTCAAAATCTTTAAACTACTCTATTATTAAAATAAGGAAACTGCATCAATAATAAAATAACTTCATTAATAAAACAAACATCATCAATGATAAATATAGGTTAATTACAAACCATCAATAATCAATAACTGACTCGGACTTACCGGCACCTGCTCGGACTCGCTGACCGGGGTCAGAGGCTTCCTGCCGGACATCTTCCTGCTTTCCCTCCGCGGGTTCCTGCTCTCTTCAGTCCGGGAGAAGCATCTCCTCTGCCGGCTGCTCTACAGCATCTCTCGCGGGAACCAGGCCACCTCGGCGGGACTCAGCTGGGAGGCTCCGACGGCCGGCGGGAGAGGGAGGCCGGGGCGGCGGCTACAGGAAGGCCCGGTGTTTGTGTCGGTGCGGGAGAGACGCCGGCATGGAGACAAAGAGAGGGAGGGAGGAAGAGGAGGGGAGGGAGAGGAGGAAGAGTAAAAGTAACGTTCCTTCCCGCAGCTTCCAGCAGGTCGTCGGGTCAAACAGCAGCACTGCGGAGCTAAAATAAATAAATAAATGCCGATGACGTCAAACCCCGCCCCCCATCTTCTTCATCATCGCCCTAAAAATATCCCAGCATCCTCAGCTGCTTCCACACGCCCTTCTCAGAATCACCACGATGTGGGGATTATAGCCTAGTCATGCGGAAGCCTTTTATTTTGGAAGACTGGTATATTTTATTATGGTGAATCAGCTGAAAAGCACAAGAAGAACTTCCTGTTCAACTGTCTCTCAGGTCAGAGACGTATGTAAGAACTTATGACTGATTCTTGTTCTCTTTATCTCTGAGTGTCAGATTTTACCCCCCAAGGGGGGACGGGGGTGAGGGAGGGGGTGTTTACGGGCTGATTGACTTTGTAATGAGAAAAGTGAACAAACATTTAAAACCAGGCTGAAAACAACCAGACAGATGCAAAAGAGAACGACAACGAAAACAACCAGACAGATGCAAAAGAGAACAACGGGGAGAAACAAAGAGGCTGAAAGCAAACAGTCCACAAACTACCACAGAATTAAACCAAACTAAAGGCCAACGAGACAAAAACAACAAAGAACGAGACACAACACGCCCACACTAACCCAAAAAGCCCATACAAAGGTGGTGTTGTGTCCCATTCTCTTTATACTGCTGCTGTATGGGGGTTAAAACTGCTGGTACTCTGGTAAAACTACCCAGTAACCCCCCAAGGAATCACTGCATTAATTGAACACAGTCTACATGGATCTGCTTGTGGTTGGAGTTTCACCATGTAAATAAAGAAGTGTGCTATTGTAGAGACAGCTGTTTACATCTGCAGTAAATACACATGTCACAACATAAAGGTGCACATATAGTTTCTTCCTTCAGTTCAGTAGTAAATGAGTTTAGTTCTTTCCAGTCCGTTTGTGTTTTGCTGCCCTCTGGTGGTTTCAATGCTCTGCTGCACCTCGGGTTTATTTTCCAGTCTTTGTCAAGAACCAAAGCAACTTCAACTAATCCACACAATTTTAAAATATACAGATTGAAATGTGCAAAGAATTAGCCACCTAAAACTGTGCCACTTGAGAAGAGGTTTGTTCTTACATGATAGTCCAGGTAAGTGGAAATGAGTTTACATAAAGTAAACTTGGTTTCCTAAACTAAATCACAAAGCTTTAAAGCTGATCATTCTGTCAAACATCTGCATGTTTACCTTAGGTATTCCAACTGTCAACATGCTAAAACCATCAGCCTCATCTCTTAACTTTGACATGTATACAAGAACTTCCACAAACCAAGGGCATTTTTATTTTTGTTCATTTATTCTAACTTCTGCATTATTCAGGCTTCCACGATCCAGGCCTGTAAAAATCAATGAACAGGTGGCTCATAAATGTCCTTCCCCACCCCTGCAGGATTAAAAAAAGTAAAATTCAAACAGAACGACACCACGGTGTGTGTTGGAGGAGTTTGGTTTAATATTGTATTGAAAAATAAATTAAAGAAAGTAACTTTACAACGCAACAAAAAAAGAACAACCTCAGATTATAAACGTTCTTTGCCAGCAGGGGGTGGAGTCGCAGTGCTCATGTAGATTAAATTTACAAATATTTATATAAAAAGGAATTGTACACATATCCACAAATCACGAAAGCATTCCTTCACATCCAGTGAGCCGAGTCTGAGTCGACCAGCCAGCGCTTGTTCCTCCAGCTACAAAAAAAGTCTAGAAAATTTATATTTATATATGTATAGATTTCGTACACATACCATGTGTGGATGTAAATAAACTGTACAGAAACAAAAAGCACAGTGGTGATGCTGTCAGAGGGAATGACGATTAAATAAAGGAAACATGATTCAGTGATTCAGTGGTGATTACCTTTGACCTCTACACCAAGGTCAAGCTCGGCCTGAACCTTTCACTCATCTGCTTCACAGGTTTTGGCTTTAAAACAACAGAAACGCTGACATCGCCTCCAAGAGTTCACGTGGGCGATGCAGCGAGTGAACACCAGCGATGACTGTAGCATGTGACCAAACGGCTTCTTTAAAAAACCAGGAGGTTCATGTTTCATGGGGACGTCAGAGAGGGAGGAGCACACGGGTGTTATCTGTACGTCTCAGCCGAACTGAACCAATTAAAAAGCTTTATTCTCTGAATCACTGGTAGTCGGATCTAGAGGACTGAGATGAGCTACCACCTGTTCGATATGCAAATATTTCAGGGCGTCGGACTCTGAAACAATAACCCAGAGGTAATTAAGGAACAGCTCAGCTGTTTGTCAGTGTATCAGAGCCGCAGCCGTGGTGAAAGACTCTGTAGTGAACATGTAGACATGAGCCCGACGCCCAGCTGATCATCTCTCAGACACAGAGAGGAAACATTGAGCCTTTCACATAAATGAGAAACAAAAAAAGAGGTAAAACGTCACGATTGTGTCAACACTGGTCGTCTCGGTGTAGTGTAAATGAATTAAAACTACAGACACTTTGTTCTGTTGCTCAGCACGTCGGGCGGCGGCATTGGGAAACGCTGCCTCTTTACTCAGTTTCTCTGCTTTCCCAGAGTCAGGTGACCTTGGCAGGTGTTCTCTCCACACAGGCCTGGCTGAGAACATTAGCAATGCTAGGCTAACAGGCTTCACAACCCTGATGGGGAAAACCACAGCATCCAGCTACAGGCTGTGGCATCAAGTTAGGCTTTGTCATCTCAAGACGTCTACCTTCTGCTCAGAATGAAGAACAAAGTTTGTCAGGGACAAAACAAAAACCTTTGCACAGACTGCTGCCTCTGCGCTGCGCTGGCTACGGCAGCCTGGTCATTTAAACACTGGTTTCTTCAGTGAGATCAAATTCATCTGATGCTGGGTAAAAGGTAGAAGAACAGGATGTGAATGTGTGACTGGATCTTCAAGGTACCAACTGCTTCAGTCCCAAATGGGGCCAAGATACAGAAGAATCTGGTTAGTTTTTTCCTTTGTGTGTTTGTGCCAAATATTTTCTAAGATCCACGTACACAGCTCTTCCCAGAGCTTTCGACTGTATAACTAGTGTGATGACGGCGACTTCTGGTCACTGAGGAAGATATACAGACTCACTCTGGGAAGAGCTAAGTAAGAGCTAAGTGGCTCTTTACCACAGGTACATGGATAAAGAGCTTTTGTGTTATTCCTCCATCTCCTGACAGACGTGTAGTCACTTTAATCAGTAGAGACGTTTGAGGTTCTGTTGGCCTCACAGCTCGAGGTGCCTCTGAGGAACAGTGGCTCCAGCTGCAGCCCAGTAACTGAACTAGATTGTTCATCCACCTTCAAAGTGACATGAAACTCAAGAGTGTCTGATTCTGGGCGAGTCAGAGAACGTGTCATTTGTCCTGTAAGATGCAAGAACCTGGTCTCTGCTGTGTTTCCTGCCTGCATCTCAGTCCATGAGCCACCACGAGTAAAAGTTTTGTAAACTTTGATCATGACACCATCGCACGAGCGAAACAAACGTGACAGACGACAGGAGGAAACCGTGACGAACTCTGTGGTCACGTTCTTCATTCATACATTCACATAAATGGGTTGTAGTCCGACAGGTAAGCACACACCTGCGATGACAGTGACAGAATAATGGTCCCTCTCACCAATAAATCCTTAACCCCGCACACTAACAAATAATAAAACATCAAACTGCTTGTCCTGTCTACAGTGACTCCCAGTGTAAACCCACAGCGAGGAGACGTCAGAGAACACAGACGGATCGACACATCTCAAACCATCCTCAGGACACTGGCCAAACCGAGCATAGAAGCAGTGAGAGGGTGGAAACAAGGCGACAGGACCGAGGTGGCGTGCTGCTAGTTTTTCTTCTTGACGTTGTTGTTCGAGGCAAGCCGGGGCCGCGGCACCGGGATCAGGCTTCCCAGTGGGACTCGACTCCAAGCCACCTCGAAGAGCTTTAGGAGAACCTGGAGGAAGAGGAGGAGGAGGAGTCAGAGGCCATCGATACTCAGATCAACAACCAACTGGAAACCATGAATATAAAACCTGGTATTCTGTAGCTGCCTGTGAAAATCACCTGTCCTTATCAGGATGTCAGACAGCATTAGGCAAAAGACGCCACCGGCCGCACTGTGTGCTACAGGAGCTCTGTGCCATTTACGTTTGTGGACCAGCACTTTATAGTCCACATCAGTTTCCCCATTAGGACAGAAACTAGGTTAGGTTACTTTATTTATACCCGTAGGTAGATTTGTTATGCAGTCAGATCAGATGACATCCTTAACACATTCACTAAAAACCACAAACATAACACCGACACATACACTGAACGTAACAGAAATACTCAGAACTCCACCATTTGGACCTCCAGCCAGAAGGGAGAAGGAAAAAATAGCAGTACAGGGGATGGGAATCATCTTTTAAAATAGAAGTAGCCATCCTCTGTACTTGTCTACTATACAGGGTTGCCACACTTGGCTGAGACTCCCCTAGCAGCCGACTAGACCACTTAACTACTCAATCTAAGGCTGTCCTCTGTCTTAGAGATATCTGACCAGACCATGACACCAAGGAAAATGCTAAAATAGATTCAATAAAAGCTCAATAAAACATATTCATTAAAGTTCGATCAATGTGAAAGTGTGCGAGTTTCCTTAAACGTTGCTGACCCTTTTTACACACCCTTTCACAATTCTCTTCAAAACTCCATTTATTATCAATGATCGTCCCCAGATATTTATATGATTGCACATATTCAATAGTCTGCCCCATAATTAAAGTGACTTCCTGCCTGTGAGGTTTCTTCCTGAAATCAATAAGCATATCTTTAGTTTTTGCTAAGTTTAGTTACAGGTAGGACTCCTCACACCAGCCAACAAAATCATCCACAACTGAACTGTGGCTATTTTCACCATCCCTAAGAAGACTGACAATAACTGCATCATCAGCATACTTTATGATTGTTCTATTGTCCCATCTACTCTGACACATATTTGTATAAAGAATAAAAAGTAATGGTGACAGCACACACCCTTGGGGAGATCCAGTAGACAAACCCCTTCGATCAGACAATAATACACTATTGACCCTAACTCTCTGTGTACAATTAGTTAAAAAATCTAAAATCCAACCCGCCAGGTTATTACTCACATTGAATTGCTGTAAAAGCCTATCAATTAAAATGTGGGGCTGAATAGTATTAAAGGCGGGAGAAAAGTCCACAAATAAAAGCCTGGCATGTGTCCTACTTTGATCCAAATGTCTATAAAGCATATTTAGCAGAGTGATTGTAGCATCCTCCACTCCTCTATGAGGCCTATATGCAAACCACAAAGGATCCAATACCTGTTCAGTCTGCCTCAGGACCTCCGATCTGACCAGTCTCTCAAAGGTCTTCATTAAGACCGAGGTCAAAGCGACTGGTCTAAAATCTGTCCATACCTGTGTTTTTACTCAGTTCTGAAAATGCGGTCTGACTCCCAGTACCACCAGTAACTCTGTATTGGCTTATGCCAGTATAGATCAGTACGGCGGCCTCCGTGTGCCACTGAGACAAAATCCTGACCTTTTTCATTCAAAACCACTGGAAGCAGTTCAAACACTCTGATTATCTCCTGGACTGTTTGAGAACTGGATCAAATGAAGCCACTGCTGAAAACAAAACAAACCTGCTCACCTTTCGTGGAGTCCTCTGAAAGCATTGAGACACATGGAGATGAAGGATTAGAGGAAGAGGAGGAATAGAGGAAGGAGACAATTATTTAGGAGGTCACTGACATTCAGGGCAGGGATTATTTGGACGCTTCTGAAAAATCGTCTGTACCACATTAGGCTTCATACACCTGAGGCCACATCACTAACAGCCGGTTTTCATTTTGCACAACAACCCCCCACCCCCCCAACCCCAATGGTCCAGTGAACAACAAACAGCCCAGCTTTGGAGAAGAAGTGCAAAACCTGAATGAGTAGTTTTGTTTGTGAGCTACTGAGACCAGGGTTGTGACTGATCAGAGGGGTCAAAGAACCATGACCTTTTATTTTGGGTAGATCATTTCGGGCTAGTGCACATGGCTGGGGGGTGTTTGTGTCCGATCAACTGTGATTACTGATTTTAGGTGAAGCTGCTGATTTGGGGAACATAGTGGTTAAGGTATAGCGCTCTCGCTGCTGTGGCCCAGGTTCAAGTCTGGGTTGCATCAGGAAGGGCATCCGGCGTAAAGCACGTGCCAAATGTCAACATGCCAGTCGTCAGTGTGACTATTCGCTGTGGCGACCCCTAAACGGGAAAAAGCCAAAAGTGACTTTCTTTCACTCTATAAAATTTAAACGAAACCACAGAGGAATTGGACTTAGCCCCAACCAGTCAAGTTCACAGGACTGGGACAGACGCGAGGTCACAGTGACCGCTGACCACAATCTAATCAGTTCACCCTTGGGTCCAAGTAGGCGTTTGTGCCAAATTTGAAGATTTTCCCTGAAGGCGTTCCAGAGACCGCGTTCCTGAGAATGCGCTGGATGAACCCGAAACATGATGACATACCTGTAAACATGAACCTTTATGTAAAGGCCAGAAAAGACCGTGGCAACAACCACCAAGAGCTCTCACCTGTTCCCAGAGGGTTTCAGCCACCTGGTCAATGACTCTCCCAACCTCTCGAAACTCTCCCGAGTATTTGACATAGGCCCAAATGCAGAGGGTGGTCAGAGCCACGCCCATCACGAGGTTACACAGCGCAGCCACAGAGTTGATGCCCACGAAGCCAGTGACCAGCGACACCACGTACATGACGAACATGACAGCAAACAGCGTGGCAGGCGTCCGCGCAGCATAGAAGATGTTCTTCCCGTCGTTGTGCTTGCTGAAGTTGGCGTAGGCCTCATCGAGCTCCGCCTCCAGCTGTTCCTGGTAGCGCTGGCAGAAATCCTCGCCGCCCATCTTCTTGATGGAACGGAAGTGTCGCACCGATGCCTGCCGCAGCTCCACATGCCGGCGCTCCAGCTCTGCAGGGGAAATGTAGGGTTTTTCTCCACCGCAGATCTGAGACCAGCACATGAGAAGTTAAAGGAAGATTCATTTTATCCAACAACCAAGGCTGTGACCTGCAGCGAACCCTCACGTGTTACCTGCTCCATGCTTCTGTTGTACACGTCTTTGGCTCCTGCTACTGCCGCAAGGTTATTGGCTTCAGCTGTTGCCTAGGTAACAGATGAGGAAACAGGTTAACCAAACTAAAGCCCCAGTCAGACGGGGTTAACGTTGTTTTAATATTATTGTCCCTGCTCAGTGAGTTTAACCCCTCCCCTGTAGTAATCGTTTAAATCCCATCCAAAGCAACGTCCTTGTATAAAGTGGTCCCTGTTTTGAGGCTCCGTTTCTTTTTCCTCTAAAAAACAAAATCAGTAGCTCCTGTTCACAGAGAACTGTCACAGAGGAAGACGTTTCTCTTTAGTCTTTGTCCTGCTAACTGTCCATGTTAATAAAGACCACCTCCTATAATTTCCCAGGAACGAGTTCAATTTCTGAGAAACCTAGATTATTTCATTCCCACCTGCCCCATCTGAATTGGGTTTGACTTATCAGTACAGCACACGGGCCCTTTGCCTGAACTGACAGACATGTTGTTCATGTGTGTTGACTGTACACACGTGAAATACTACAGTTCCAGTAAGACCTGACTCAGACAACAAACAGGACACTGCCTCCCAACACTTCTCAGAACTATTCTGACAAGTTAATGTCAAAGCATCTTATTGAGCTGTGTTCATGGACTAAAGATGTAGCGTGTCCAGCAGAGGGAGCTGTTTCACATGGAGACCCACCTGCAGCATCGACTTGGGGTGGGGAAGCTCCTCTCCTTGGTAGATCTTCATGTAAGCCTGAAAACACAAGGAGACAACTGAACATGGAGGGAACAGGAAGACAGCTCAGGAATCCAACACTGTTACACTTTAAAACCTCGAATTCTAAAAATCAGAGGTGAGGAGCCTCGGTTTGCCTGGAAAGAGAGATCGCTGCATTTTACTGTGAAATCAAAAGGATTTGCTACTGACCGAAGCAAAAGCCTGGCGACAGTATGGCAGATGAGAACTCACTTTGAAGTAGTGCAGCAGGTCTCTGCAGGTGATTTTGACTCCTCCAATCTCCTTTTCCACCAGGTTTTCTGGGGAGAGCAGCGTTCGGACGAGGTTCACCAGCTCCTTCTTAAAGTCCTCATCAATATCTGAAACAAACCACAAGCACACAGGATAAAAAAAAAAACAACAACACAAGCTTAATAACCAGTAGTTAACCTTCTGGGCACCATTCACACACTATTACATCCAGCAGGTTGTTATGTACTCAGGTGTCAGGCTGGAATCTTCTTTCCCAGTGTAGGGTTTTAAAGTGATCAAATTATAGTGGGGGCTCAAACAGAAAGGGAACAAAGACACAAATGTAAAATCAGTCATTTGACCCGCAAGTAGAAAAATCTCATAAAAGGACATCACAAGGTGACTTTCTGTGGAAAGTAAAGTTGATCATTTTCTCAAAATGTCTGAAACATCTGTTAATATTTGGGCGTGGAATTACTGCTGAAATGAAGATGACCGTGACTTTGGCAGACTGGTTGCTGAGCCAGCGTTTTACCTCTGAGCCGGCCGTCGAAGTGAGGGTTGGTGGCCACCTTGAGGCCGGGGTGTGGCAGCAGGAAGCAGCTGATGTTGGAGAAGCAGGAGTGGATGTGTTTCCTGACGTTCTGCAGCTCCTCGTGTTGGTTCGGCTTCACCTGAGCACAAACACAACACAGTAACAGCAGTGTGGAGATGCTCACACTAGGTCCAGAGAAACACCCGAGCGGTGAAACCCACCTGCAGTCGTTTCTCCAGGAAACTTTGCCCTCCCTCCAGACCATACGGATGTTCGTAAGGGTAGCACCAGTCCCTGATCAGGAACATCAGAGTCTGAAAAGAGGGACACATTCAGGTCACTGATTCAGGGGCGTAACGGACCAAAGGTCATTAGGGAACAAAAAAAGTCCAGGGTTTGCAGCTTTAGCGTCGTTTTCACTACTAACTGCTGCACAGTTATAATGAACCTGAAAAAGGTCTCTCAAAGACCTCAGTCAGCAACAAGCAGAGTTTACACAGTTTGATTTCCTTTAAACTGTGAAGAATCTGGGCTTACTTCATCATATGAGGACTGAAATTTGAATCAAGGGTTGTGTCATGTCTGAGATGAGTAGTACCATACTGAAAACTGAGGACATGGTGAGCAGATCGTACCTGAAAAGGTTTCTCGTAGACCTCCTCCATGGCCAGTCGTCCGTACTCAGTGAAAAGCTGGGGATAGGAAACAACCGCTCACTCTAAAATCAAACTGGCCACCACAGCAGCTGTCCATCCAACAATTTAAGTTTTCTGCTAGAACATCATTAGCTGAGCTTTGCTACTGCTTAACCAGGTTAATGTTTGTTTGGACAGGTCATATCTGACTCAGGGCCCGAAAAATAAAAAAAAATCCTTGTTAAGTAGAAATGTTAAAACGCCCCAATACCGACCTGGAGGTGCTGGAGGTCATCTTCCTGGACATTCTGGGACAGGTTATAGACCTGAAACACACAACCAACCAAGACCTCAACCGGTTTGCAACCATGTAGCATCACACTGAGGCCACAAACAGAACTCAAACCCCGAGGCGTGAGAACCTGAGGTCAGACCGACCTGGACAGAGCTGGTCATGGTGCTCAGGGCGAACAGTGTGGCACAGTCTTTGATGGTGGACTGGCTGTCAAACGCGCCCTGTGTGTCGATCAGTAGAACTGCAACCTGCAAGAACCCCACATTCACCTCAGTCCCACAACCCTCGCTACATCATGAACACATGTACACTGCGCTGGCTGCAAGCACAGCCTCTGAGCCAGTGAACTAACCTTGTAGCCATTTGGCTTCTCCACCACGAACACCTCGCTCCAGGCCAGGATGCCCGTGGTCTCCCTCTCACAGCCGCCCCGCCATTTGAAGCCGGTCAGAGGCTCGTCGTCGTTGCCGATCCACAGACTGGACGACTGCAGGAAGACACCAGAGAGCTCAGGCCACTGTGTGGAGTTACATACCAGTCCTGAGCTCAAGGCCAGGATTAAATGACCTGGTTCTCAAGGTTAACTAAAAATGCTTTAAATGCCACGGAGTGCACACAATTCAATACCAGCTCCCTGACCACACTGTCAGTACAGAAGATACCAATGGCCCGTTTACAAATGGCATCGGTTTACTGACACTTACACCACATTTGTCAATACTTCCCGTAGTACCGATTTAATAATTACTAATCACCTGAACCCAGTGGCTGCCTGAAAGAGTCAACCTACATACCGAAGGACCATCTTAATTGTATATTTTAAAAGTGAAATACATTCTCTATTCATAAAAACTGATACCGTATACACTGATCAGGCATAACATCTGTATGCACTTCAGTGCAACACTTCTGTCTTAACATCTGTGTTCATGAAGCTCAAAATGTTTCAGTTTTTGGTGAGATTGTCATAAATGTAAAATTCAACGATTTGTTCATTATTGGTAGGGGTGCACCGAAATTTCGGCCACCGAAAATTTTCAGCCGAAAAGGCCATTTTTATTTCAGGCCGGAATAAAAAGAAACACGCCGAAAATGCCCCGCCCCGCCCATCATATCCTCGCGCAGCACAGGTTAGGTTTCACCT